GGTTGAAGTTCGTTCGCTACGCTCACTCACCTTTGGGTTGGAGCTCGTTTGCTGCGCTCACTTGCCTTTAGGTTGGAGCTCGTTCGCTACGCTAACTCGCCTCCAGGTTAGCTCGTTCGCTACGCTCACTCGCCTCCAGGTTGGAGTTCGTTCGCTACGCTCACTCACCTTTTGGTTGCAAATTGGCTGTTGTCATAAATGTAAAAGAAATAATAGTGCTGCACCCTGTTGGTAATCCTTGTAACTTTAATGCTATTGAACATCATAGAACAGAACCAACTTGTTTAATTGAAACAGCTGTTAAGATTCATTAATTCCATTTCTCATAAGGTTAACATGGGAAACTCCAGAGCCACTGGGGCGGAGCCCTTTTAAGAATTTCGAAACGGGAAATAGTTTACGTCCGATTCGCATACCTACAGAATTTACACACCAAATTTCATAACGATCGGTGAAGTCGTTCCGGAGGAGTTTTCAGACAAACACTGTGACACGAGAATTTTATATATTAGATAGAACTGTATTTTGTATTTTGTGCATCCGGGTTGATTCTGTTTACTAGTTTAAGTATTTTATTGTTTTCAAGTTGAGTTAACCAGAGTGTCCCATAAGTAAACAGCCAAACTCCGGGAAACGGTTCTATGGGTAAAAAAATTACTAACTGTTTATGAATAAATTTGTTTTTTTAATCTGGTATAATTCTCATAAAAAAGGGTAGTAGTACTGTACAGAAAAATACTCTTAAAGTAATCCTAAAATGTCTTTATTATGTACAAAATAAAAATAATATAAAACATCTAAATTTTAATACAACACAGCCAAGTTTGAATAATAATTATTTACAGAGGCGTAGGAAGGATCAAGTGAATTTTTAATCATTTGAAGGGATTAGGAGAACTGTTTAAAAGAAGAAGTTTGGAAGGAGGAAAAGACGCCTACATTTGTAAAAATTATATGTCAGCCATGAAAAGTCCAACTATTTTTGGGATTTTGATAATATCATAATCTCCCGTTGCAGACTAAGCACATTTACCTGATCAGATTGTCAATAAAACATTTCCTAACATGTAAGATTTATTCCATATTTAAATAAAATTATATTTACTGAGTACTTAGGTTTGCTGCTACAAGGAATGTTATATAGTGAGTTTTTTACCAAAGGTAATAGTTTGATATGAAATAAATTTGCCAAATCTTATCAAAATATATCCATAAACAAGCTAACCACAACATTTTACGTAGATTCTACTTAAATATTAAGTTACATGAATATTTTTAATTCACAGTTTTTTTTTCTCTCTGCAACCATTTGGCGTACATCAATGCTTCAATTTACCAAAGTATTTGTTTTTAATCTCTACAAAATGGTTTATGATAAATTGCAAAATTTAACGTTTTGAGAGTCAAAAAATGGTAAAACGTCTATGAAAGTTGAGAAAAAATACTCAGTCAAACAAAGCAGATTCAGTCAGGGAAGCAGATTCGTTCTATCTGCCCAAGAATCAAATAATGCTATCATAAAAGAATCTGTAAAAAAATGTCCAGATAATTCTTTTGGTCCTAAGTGTTGATACTCTCTTAAATTGAATTTCAATGGAATTTCTTCACTCTCTTGTTGGAAACATGTAATGGAAATGCTGAAAATAAGGTAAGCTCACTGTCCTAATGGTTATACCAAGTAGTTATTAGGGGTGTGCGAGTATTCGAACATCGAGCTTTTTCGAGCCGAATAGCGTCCTATTCGGCTCGGCTCGTGATTTTCAAAAAGTTCGAAATGTTCGAGCCGAATACTTATTGAACTAGCAAATAAAAATTAAATTAATAAATAATGAACTAACTTTCATTTAAATTTACTCTCCGTTTCATAATTCTGTCTAGATAAGCAAGAACCTCAGCTCAGTCAAGACGCAATGATTATCGATCGTAATTTTGAGGAAACTACCACCTATCGCGTTGTCTTTCCAACACAACTATTCGTATCGTAATATACAACGCAGTGCGAGTGCGTGATTGGCTAAGTCGCTATGACGACACACGGTTGCCACGGCAACCTACATTGCGCACTGAGCACTGCGCCTTGTGTGGGAGGGGAGATTATACCAACAAATTATTTCAGGAATTCTATTTTGGGACGGATGAAAGATAAGGAAGAAACAAAGGTGGTCACGTGTGCAAATGTAGTGGGCGACACAATAAGGCTGTAAACGAGTATCGTCGTGTCGTTGTTCCTTGTTTGTTTACTTTTTAAGATTCCTTATCAAACGCCCCTATCTGCTATCTCTCTTTCTCTCTCTCTCTCTAACAATGTACTGATTAAACAAGATTGTGGTTGACGACTTTTCTACTTATAAGTTTCCCTGCGGTTATTTTAGTTCAATCAATCCCATAACCTTTCTAATGTTTATCAAAATAATTAATTAATATGTTTTGTATTTTATTTCCTTTAAACCAACCCCTATTTACCATCTGTATTTTATAGAATAAAATGTTTGTTTATAAAGTTTGACTGGCCACACAATTTTGTACCTATTTTATTTTGTATAAAAGTAACAGTTACTTTGAGGATTATATATATATCAATAAGTGGCGCGTGCTGTAATGAGTGCTTTTTATTTTCAAAATAAGTAATGAGTTATTAATTTTTGATAGTACGGGTCATTAAATACCATAATGTGATGTAGTTTCCTATTTGTATCTTGCAAATAATAATAATTGATAGTTAATTCTGGAAATGAAAAATAGTGATCGCATTCATAAACCTGTTGTCAAAACAGCAACGAGGGTGTAAGGGTTTATTGTTTCAGACGCAAGGGTGTTTCAAGGACAAAGTGTTGGGCCACCCGGATGGGGGGGGGGCGGTGAGACTGTGTGAAGGGGAGGAAACTGGTTTTGGCTATTTATTGATTAGTTCGCCGACCCTTCTAGATGACAAAATTGAGTGACAGTGTTAAATCATCGTGTTCTGCATTTCATTTCTTGTTTACTTTGTGTGTTATTCTATTAATTCTAGTGCTTTGGTCTATTTCCTCTATATGTCAATTATATATTTTTTAATATATAAGTAAAACTTGTCTCTCCACCTTTTTGGATCCAAACCAACCATGTTCTTTTTGATTAATAGGATTCATTTAGAGGTTTGCGGATATCCGAAAAATCGGGTCGGATTCGGTTCGGATATCCGTATCCAAACCGGGCCCAAATTCGATATCCGACACTATCCGTTATTTATCCGACTTTTTCGGATATACAATATATTTTGACGTTTTGGACAGAAAACTAAATCTCCATAGCTACCATTAGTTTCCCAGGACAAAATTACAGCAATACGTTTCCAACGACCTAACAGCAAACGGCAAAGAAGCCGTATGATGCAATACTGATAACTAGTTTAGTCGTTATCGGCAGTTTTGCTTTACGATTAGATTCGTCTGGAATGAACAGGCATAAAGCAAAAAAGAACTACCATGGTCAAATGAAAGTCAACTCGTGCTTGTCTCGCTCCTGATACTAGGGGCGCTGTAATAGTTTATTTACAGTACTGTAAAGATAACAACGTCATTCTTTCTCTTTGTTCTTCTATTTCTTGGGTTTCCCTTCATCACGCATTCAACATGTTGTCATGGTTACTAATCACCCATGTCGTTATCAGCTTTTGTGACATAGCGCACAGCATGGGGTAAAACTTGACGAAAATCGGTTAATTTTTACCTACCAATTAAGTACTACTTTATTGGTATTTGGTACTGTATTAATAATCGGTCAAAATGGCCGATTTTTGTCAAATTTTACACCAAGTTTATTGAAATTTCAAGGTGAATATTACTAAAACAATTATTACAAAATATTTGTATTCATTTAAAAGATTGATTTGTTGTATTGGGTTCCCCACTGAGTGCAGCCGAGCGGCACTAATGAGGGTCGGACCTTCTTGCGGGTAAACAATAGACGGCTTATCAGACCCACCCCTCCCCCGTGGTCTGGAGAAAGCTTGTAAACAAACTATTGCACAAGCCATTGGGCTGCTTCAACTATAATTTTGTCAAATGAACTGTGATGTTTTAAAATCAAAAACAATAATTTGGGACCATACTGCTTAACAATAATGGACTGCAATTATTGTTAAACATACAATCCATTTTTACATTAAACAAAAATATTTTGTGTATGGAAAACAACAAGAATAATCACGTGTTTTTAAATTTATTTTGTATTTATTTATACAAAATAGAATTAAATATTCATAGTAGTTACAATATACATATGTAATCGACTTGCTAGTTGTTTTGTCGTCATTCAAGGTCGCGTTGCTGTTCTGTCATGTAAGACAATCTGATTGTCTCAGTCTGCACTGCATATCTCTTCAGGCCTTCAATCGATATCCTTTTATTTCTTGCATCTTCATTTAGTTCAGTTCAGTTCTTATCGTGATTATCTACTATTTGATGTCTTGACAATTCTCAATGTTTTTAAACATATTAAAATAACATTGTGTTTATTTAAAAATTGACTGATCATTATTATTATTATGCACTTTTTTAAGAAAAAAAAGTTTAATAATTAAGATAAGGTTAGGCCTACGCTAGGAAAAGCTCGGCTCGAAAAAGCTCGAGCTCGAACATTTTTTAAAAAGCTCGGCTCGGCTCGGCTCGAGGTTGAAAATCACTATTCGCACACCCCTAGTAGTTATGAGTTAATTTCTAGCATAGAGCTTATGGGGGGAAACTCATAGTTAGCAATTAAGTTACTTAAAGATATCAAAATCAAACTCATGGAGTATGCAGACAAAACTTGTTACATTATAGTGATTTTAACCTAATCTATAACAATTGATGATTTTAAAGTGGAGGAAGGGTTAAAACATAAAATCCCACCTGTAGTTAAGCACACGGCCTAATAAGCAGGCTCCAGAAAATTAGAAAGAAATTGGAACTCCACCAGCCACCTATATAAGTTAGTGTTATTCCTTCACTTTTGGATGGGCTGTCAAAAATCAAGTGCAATTTGTTCAACAGCTTTTGATAAAATATTTTTTTAAAGTCTATATCAACAAAGATATATAACAAAGTTTTAACATAAAACAAAAAAAAAATAGCATAGTTGACCTAATTAGCAGTTATGTAATGGGGGAGTTATCTCACTCTGATTTTTCCCAAAAAAAACTAGGCAATTTGTTTTGTTTTTTTAGACGGTAAGCGTTCTCACACAGGAAAATTTAGAACTACACCACTGCTAACTAGGGACAGAACTCTTGATCAAACTAAAAGAATAATACAAATAATTATGTTCTAAGGCCAGACGATGCTCTCTATCCAAGATATATAGTTTGAGACCCTGGTGTAAACGGCAGGGAATGCAGAAGCACACCTGATCCCATATGAAGTGATGCCCACCTGACTGTACATGCAGTACGGTTCTCTCAGGCGGTATTGCAATGGACCACCTGAATCACCCTGAAAACATACAATCATTGTAACAAGTGCCTATAAAGTTATGACACGAATATCAGGTGGACGTGTGGTTGTATCAAAGCTGAAAAGGTCTTATTGTTTAAAAATCTTAAATTAATGAAAAACGAAAAAGGACAAGTGAGAGTAGTTTTTCACATTGTCATTAATTGATTTTGTACAGGACCTCAAAATTGTAACCAAGCCAAGACCTAATGACAACTTTTTAGCACTTAGAGTCATACTAAGTATCACTTGGAGAAAATAAAATTTAAGACTGTTAAACACTCTGTCCAATCAAATATGGTTTACTTTGAACTAAAGCCGGGTTTCCCTAGATGCGGAAGTGGAGAGAGGAACGCAGAGAGCGGACTCCTCTTGTCTTAGGCCGGTTTTATGCACCGCGACAGTCGCGAGTGTTCTATTGAGTTGGATGGGAGCATCTATGCACCACGACAGCGACAAAGATTCGTGTGAGCGACTCGGCGATCTCTAAATACCCGCTGCAGGTTTTCAGCTGCAAAAAATGTGTGGCGCGCAATTCAAGTTCCATTGGATCAAATGGGTACATTTATGCACGGCAACAGTCGTGGTGTGACAGTAGTATTTTTCATACTCCATGTGGTATATTCTCCATATATTTATATTTCACATATATTGATTAATGTTAACAATTAATATTTAAATAAGTTCTTTACCCTTTATTTTTAGTATAATTATGTCATGTTTCTTATGTACAGTAATGACATTTTCAAGTGGGTTAACCCAATTCATACTGTAAATTGTATTTGTTCTATGGATAAATAAACAGGTTTTTCGTCAACTTGTACAACACTACAGGGTCCATATTTAACACATTCAATACCAGGTCACACAAGACCACTCATAGAGAGGAGTGTGACAACTGGTAGGCAACATGTTAAATACTGCCAAATAATACTTTACAGTGTTTCCTTATTAAATAAAAAAAACCTACCAAACTAGAAAACATCAGAGAGAAGGGAATAATGATTAATTAGGTTTGCTGCTAGAAGAAAGACAATAAAGTTTGTTTTTAATTAAAATTTTTGTGGTTTGATATGAAATAACTAAATTTACAAAATTTGATCAAATACAAACAAACAAAATAGGTACAAGAATGTAAATATTCTCCATAGGAACAACATGTGTATTTTAAATTCACATTTTTTTTACTTTCTCTGTAGTAAAACACACAACTACTTTCTCTGTGTATCACAACGCTTTGATGTTTTATTATTTGTTTTTTATAAGCTCTCAAAATGGTATAGAGGCAATTTGCAGTTTTTTTGTGTTATTACTGTACAGTTTTTTTATGTTTTAAGGGTAAAATTGAAAAAAAAACTGATTTTATGTCATAAACCCCTTCATGAAAACTCTTTCCCATAGACCAATCATGCTGGTTAGTGAACTCTTAAGAATAAACGTAGGTTTACAAGATTCAACTGATTTTAATAAACATTCATCTTGCAAAGTTATTCCACAACAGACATTATGGTTGTTTTCTTATCAACGAGTGAAAGACAAGCCAGTTTCTTTCCCTTTAACCAGACAAGTGTTTCTTCTTTGATTTTACAAATCTAAAATAATACCTACTCAAGTAACCTACCTGGCATGTATCAGTATTTGACAAGAAGTTGGCAGCACAAATCTGTAAAGCATCTCGTACTTCTCTATCTAGTTTTGCAATATTGTTAAGATAGTTCCTACATTCAGTTCCACTCATGAAGGTCACGTTGCCTTTTTGAAGAATATCACTCATTTTTCCACCTAGAAGAAAAATATGGTAACACTTCTAGTTTTAGACGCTCGTTTCATTACAGAACTGATTTAAACAAGGCTCAAAACTTCATTGGGAATTTCCGTAATTTCTTAAAGTTAATTTTCAGAAATCCATCTATAAAGGCAAAAGTACCCATGAACTTTTGAGAAAACTACAAGTCACACCCCCATAAACCATATACTTAAAATGTTCGTCATGATGAGAAACCTTGCTCTGAACTATCCATTCTTTCATAAATCGCCCTTTAAGGTCGTAATTGCTTTCCCAAGGGAACTTTCCTTATACATAATGTTAAAAAAACCTCAGCTGTCCTTATTTGTATGTTATTCTTTCAAATTATTTCCTTATTAAAATCAGGTGTAATTATTTGTTCGTATTTCTGTATTCTGTTTTGTTTATTTTGGCTTAACTTAACCAATCAATAATTTTATTAATACTTATGAAATAAAACGGGGTGAAGCCCGTGGGCAACAGCTAGTTTCTTTGAACTACAATTTGAATGACCAAATGAACATTCCCGATTTATCAAGAAATTCTCGATAAGTCATCTAAATAATATGTGATTTACTTCAGTATGAATAAGTTTCTAAGACAAAGTTGATAACATAGTGAGAATTAAACTCACAGGGAAATTCAGGTACTTCTTCAAATAACATCTTGAGGACCAATATTTTTATCATATGTCGAAATGCTGATTTTATGATTTGATATCCTGAAATAGGCTTCGACAGCTGATAAGAATGATATTGTGTCACATTTTTAAAGATGTATTATTGTTATTAATAATCACACTGTTGAATTATGCAATATTTAAATTTTAGCATCCTCACGGATGGAACCCAGTACAAGGTTTTTGTTACTACAAAAGTATGAGGGAATAAGATGACCAACTTAGTATAATCTATGTTACTAACTAATTGAATTTGATAAAAAAGTTAGCTAAAATGAAGTATGAGAAACTATTTCTATAATCTTTGGATACAGATACTGTATTTGCTTCCATTCAATTCAATCCAACGAGGAGAAAACTTAATACTGATAGAAAACAAAAGAGTTAACTATTTTCTTACCGAATTCTGTCCTACCCCATCCTGTGATGAGTCCATATTTCTTTGGTATTTGTAAATCAGTTTGAAGACAGACCGGTCTAATATATTCGCCAAATGTGACATCCCTGCTGAGCTTGTATAGGGCAATGTCGTTGAATTCAGTTTTATTATCGTACTGAGGGTGGTTTATTGTTTGTATGATGTCTACGTCTTCCACTCTTGATATCTTATCTTTTTCGTCTTCTTTTGAACGATAATTGTATTCACCGAGCCTCACCAATTTTGGCCTGTAAGTAGAAAAATGAAACAATAAAAAAGCTGATAAGAGTATTTCATAGTTATGATTGTTGTAACAGTTAGCAATAACGCCTCTTTAAGCCCCCAAAGTGGTATCTTGAATCAAGTTAAAAATTAATTAACGAGTTAGAACTGAGAGAAGAGAGCATTTGTAAAATTATCAATTTTGACCTGTATAAGAGGTTATTCTTGCTTAACATTAGATAGAATATTCGTTACTGCAAATTGATAAAACATCATCACTGGCTACCTAAAGATTGTCATACAATTTTGTGTTGTTTATGCTGCGTTGTAAAACACGTCAAAAGAAATTTCATAAAAACACTTTGAATATTTATTGGAAAAACAATTGAAACAATTGAATTGTACAAGTGGCGGATTATAGTAATACCAGAAACAAAAGAACCCTGGGCCGTTTCGAGCCGCGCAGGTTTGAATGGTACGCCACACCTACCGGCGCGAACCACGTGATCATTTCGTTTCTGCGCAGGTTGTTTTGTTCGTGGTATGTCTAGGGGGGCACAGGGGGCATGTGCCCCCCCCCCCAAGAGCTGTGTATAAATAATTAATATATTAAACTAGTTGAAAACCAAACAAAATAATGCAGTTGTTTTACTATCTATTTCATTTGCCCATTTAATACTAACTTTACTTCAAATAAAAGTACACAAAATGCTTGGTAGCTTAATCAAAATTGAGGAAACTAATAATCAATAGTAATTGCGAAAAATATGTTAGTTTTCGCTGGCCGTCACTTCTAAAGCTATAGTGCTATGCTAGCAGTGTCTTCAGTCAGTCAGTGTGGCTGGCCTTCGTGTTTGTCTGAGGGAGTAGTGGTAGTTTGTACTGTAGGCCTACTTTTCAGGCTATGTGTTTGTGTAAGAATGAATTTATTGCATCCCATTCCTACATTTTTATTAAAATTTCATCATTTCCTATTAGGGTTAACAATCAATTATTTTTAAATAATGATTTCCCTAAAATCAAACCTTTTCAGACGCAGGTTAAACATTATAAAACATTTATGATACTGCCAAAATTTGAGGAAATAAATAAGAAATTGAGCTTCTATATGGAAGATTTATAGCCTATTTAAAATATGGCTGAAAATTGAGTTTTTGAACACCAGAAAGTCAATTTTTCGGGGAGCCCCGGACCCCCCTTTCCACAGGGTACCCCCCTTCCATGCCCCCCTGGCCCCCAGCGTTTCAAGGAAATGGGCTTGATGGTGGCCCCCTCCAAAAACTAAATTCCTGGATCTGGCCATGAATATAGTACTAAATTTTTCATTCATGTGGAATAACGACAACGACGCACATATGCGACGGCTGGTTTCTACCCACAGACAGCCGTCTCATATATGCGACAGCTGGTTACATTAAAATAGACTGACGTCGCATATTTGTGTTGGTGTCCCAGTTAAAGCTTATATCTTCGTAACAGTCTATTTGAAGGACCTTAATTCTCTGCAGTGGTCTACAGGGATATCTGTTGCATATGTGCGTCTCTTGGTCTGTGGATATGATTAGTGACGTCATATGATGGTTGGCAAAACCTGTTTTAGCGAATTTCCCATATAGGGAATAAGCTATTACCGTAGTACTCATAGTAAGACCTGGACCCGGGACCAATTTTTTTTTTCGTTTTGAGGTCCCTAGAGGCCAAAAATAGCATCCGTTCAAATTCATATATATATATATATTTATATATATATATATACCGGTATATATATGTGTCCGTTAGCGCAATAACTCGAGCAAAAATGATCCGATTTTGATGAAATTTGGTACAAATGTGTAGACCTACGTTTATTCGAACGAGTTCGCGAACCAGCATGATCGTACCATGGGAACGGGGGTTTATGGGGGCTTTTATGGCGTAAAAATGGGTTTTTCCCATTTTTGACCCAAAAAACTTAAATTTTTGCAATTTCTTTCCAAACTATTCTGTAGAGCTTAAAAAAACAAATAATTTAGTATATTGAAGCGTTATAATGCGCCTAATGATTACGGATAAAATTCAAAAAAATTGTAAATTTAAAATTCCCATGTTATTCTTATGGAGGATAAGTAAACTGTTGTAGTTTGCTTATTTATTAACATATTTTGCCCAAATTTGGAAAATGTTTTTATTTCTTACTAACTATTAACATTTTACATAAAAAAAACACTTTAACCCTCCCTGTTGCAGCAAACCTAAGTATGTGTTAAACTGATTCAATTTAAATAGGGAACAAATGTGATATTTTTAAGGAGACATTTTAGTGTAAATCCAATCAGACAAATGGAAATTCGCTTAGTCTGCAGGTGTGCTGCGGCGGGGGTATTTTACTTTGCTGTATGCAGCAAAATATGACTGCAGGACTGCAGTATGACAGCTGGATGGGCCAGTGATGACTGTCCGTGGTCTGCAAGTACTGTTAACGAAGTGACACCCGGTCTAAAAAATGTATTCCTCGGTCTGTGGCAAAGAATAAGAAATTAACCTATAAGAAAAATAACCTATAAAAAGATTTCAAAGGTATTGTTAACAATTAAAATTGTATATCTCACCTGTCTTCACCGTCCAGAGTACAATGAGCTGCGGAGAGAACCCAGCGTTCACTTATAAGTGATCCTGCACACTTCCACAGGATATTGTCCTTATCTCCATAACCAATCAAAGCCTGTAGATGTACATTTTAATTTTTTAAACAGATGGAATGGTAGAAAAAAATATTTTAATAGTTTTAATGGAAGTTTTTTTCCTGATAATTTTTGTTTCATTCAAGGTTTTGGAAACCTCGTTAGTATTTGTAAATTCTAATCATAAACCATTATAAAAAATATTCTTACTGTAATCAAAAAATTTTTTTTTAATTTTCATTTTTTTAGTAATCAATGATTCTAAATAACTAAATCATTACCTCTTTAATGACAGTGTGGATGGGTTTCCTTGTATACCAAATGTATAATCTAAATATAAATGTGCCACATTAGCAGGTCCTTGATCTAATCAGTGCTAATGACCTCTAAGATTTCTCCCATTTTGCCCCAGTTCCTCTCACCATTAACAGTACTTTGCTTAATAGAAGTTTGCATTTCGTTTATAATATAATGATGTTAAGAAATGAGTGAACAATATTAATTGGAAATGATTTTTACTTTCTTCCCGTATATGCTATTACGGTACGTGGAGAAAGTATTGTTTTCATCAACACGTTTGAGTTTTGGATAGATATCCGTTTTGAGTCCCCCTGAACCCCAAAAGAAGTGGTTTTTGAAGTTATGTCTATGTGTGTGTGGATGTGTACAGGAGCTACAGACTACACCTGTGGCCTGATTTTGATAAAGGTTTGGTTTAAGGGTACTATGGTAACTTCAGGGTTTTTAATTTTTTTATATTTTGATTTTTAATGGCGATTTTCCCATAAAATTTCATAAAATAACATAAAAATTTGACAATTTTGATTAAAATGTACCTAGTATGTTATAGTCCTTTTGACTCTAAACAAAATGGTACAACTTCCATACCTGCAAAAATTACGGTTCAAAAGTTATTGTAATTTTTTTGATACAGTACTGTATTACCCAGGTTTATACTCAATGCCATAACATAACTACTCCCACCTTTTATAGGCTCATTAAAAGGGAAACTGACAAGCTAATGTGAGAAAGTATGCGTCAGTTTGTGGATACCATTTATTTTTTAAATGTTATGCGCACTTCCACAGCAATCGGCCCTATTAAATTAGTAATTTCAATAAGTTTTTGCTCTTTAACTGAGCTATTTTGTTTGGTTTACAAATGACATTATTGACTAGACAAGTATCTTGTCTGTGGATAAGTAATACAATGTGTTTTAGCCAATTTGAAGGTCACGGGTTTTTCTTTACCTATGTTAAGAAATTTAGCTTTTTAACAGGATTTCAGTTTTGGTCAGGACTGTCCTTGATGAGTTCAGTCATCTGTGGTAGAATTTGGTGGGGGAGGATTACCTGAAATACACAGCGGTGGTTTGGGTGGATTCATAGTGAATTATTTTATCTTAAATCTAACGTTTTTCTATTTATTATTCTATTTACCTGTCCACAACTATTATAAAATCATTTGGATTTTTTCCAAAAGATTTAGAAAAAGACGTCATAAACTGGGCAGAGGGGATGAAACGTCTAAAAAAAATACATACCATATGTGGAAATTCTCTAGGCTGGGCATCGCGGCCGCCGACAATAAGAGGCTCGACGTTGGCACAAGTGTCAATTTTGTTAAACTCTTCATTTTCGAAGCTTTGTATTTTAATGAAAACAGACTCTGCATACTTCTTACACACTGAAAAAGATTGATCAAAATAAAATAATTTTTAACCTCTGGATAAATAGGCTACTGGTACATAGAAGTGTTAATACTTAGGTCAACCTGGTTGACCCCCTAAAGGTTTGGAACAGTGGTGTAGTAGCACATTTTGCAGTGTGGAAATGCTCACCACTGTCCAAAACACTGTATAAGAATAGTATACAAGATCCTTAGACAAAGCAGAATGGGATCCTCGTTCCTACCACATCACTACATCACTCTACCGGTACATCACTACGTCTAATCACTACATCTACATCACTACGGCTACATCACTTCGTCTACATCACTGGTTTTGAACCTAATCAATTTTGGACATCTTTTTAAAGCTCTCTCCCCAGTTCTAATATTTGATGACATTCTTTTTAACCCTCCGAGTGTCATGCGTCGCTGCAGCGACGCGTAACGCACTTTGTATAGTGTCGTGCGTCGCTACAGCGACTCGCGAACACTGTTTACGGCGAAGGCTCTATGACTAACTGAATCGGACTGTACTGGATTGAGTTAGGTATCGTTCTTTCCGTAATATTCTAAGCTTTCTCCAGAGGTCTGTCTCTAAGCACTATTCATTTTAGTTCCGAAAATATTGTAGCAGACAGCTGACTGAGCTGACTTGCGTGTATTTGTAAACAGCTAGGTTACCCTCGGACCGATGACTGATGTGTTTTATTACATTTATCATTGTTTTAGTGTTAAAAATCAAAAGTAGTGATATACGTGGTGCATTATAAGAAGATTTAAGTGGTTTTGAAGTGCTGGTTGATGATCCTGAAGAAGTAGGTAGTGATATTGATGTAAATTATCAGCCAGATTCCTAGCTATGGTTGGGCTATGCATTCTTAGCTAAACGCTATGTACTGAAATCTGTTTTTTGCCCATAACTTATTTATTTGCAAATCTACTTCCTTATATTATTATATATTTGTAATCCTCATAAAATTTAGAACAAAGTGGCTATTTTCAAATATTTATAGGCCTATAATTTATACAATTTCATTGAGCGCAAACTTATTTTTTTTTTTTTAATTTTCGAAATTATACATTTTTTTTACCTAAAAAAATTTTTTTAAAAAAATCTTCCTTATGTTTTATATATAATATTGAAGCCCAAGATTTTCCAAACAAAATGGTATATAGAACAGTATAATTAACATTGTTTTTAAGCTTCTCAGATCAGTTTTAATAAAACCTTGCAAATGAGCAAAAGATAGGCTGACATTAAGGCCAAAACACGTGACACTCGGAGGGTTAAACCCTGGCCCCAGAATATTCTTTTCAAACACTGGTCCCAGTTCTTAGATTAGATGATATTGTTTTCAAACTCTAGCCAAAATTCTCTAGTCTAAAGTGTCGAAATATCTAAGTTCTACAGTACTATGTATGTAGCTAAACTAGGTCAGAACTATTAGTCATAAAATGGCTATTACACTCACTTTCCTTGCTTTTCACACCAACTTGCGAAGGTCCTCTGTTGGGCTGCGTAGGTTTGCTGTTCGGTGTTGTTGGGAGAGGTCTGGTCGGTCTGGTCGGTCTACGCCTCTGAGGTTCACAACACACTATCACCTGGTTATTACTAAACCCACATGTCTCTGGCCTTCTCCCCTGTTGAAGAGCTTCCTGAGCCTTGGGACAATCTCTAATCTTTTTGCACGTCCAATCCACTCCGCCAACCCTTTTACACGTTTCGCCTGAAAATAACACTTAGATGAAGCAACTGTAAACTAGTGGTGTAGTGGGCGCCGGGCGGGAACGCCTTTTCCACTCTTCATTCCAATCTATCCTATACTCAATGAGCAATGTTTGCTTGTATATGTATGCTTGCAAAAAGATCTCAAAAACGGCTTCGACGATTCCCTTTCAAATGTTGTAAAAAATTTATATCTGGCCTAAAAATGTCTTTACTGCAGTTAAAACTGCCAACAAAAATCTAATTTACGTAAATAGAATTTGCCTAATTTGCCATGTAAAAAATTAAATTGAAAGTCAAAAATTTTTAACATTGGCCTTATATGTTGGTTGAACAAAATAACAAGGAAAAAGTAAACAAAAGACTTGTAACATCTGTTTAAAACAAGCCATCTACTGTATAGCAAATTTAAAAATACAGTACAAAGGGAAAACATCAGTTGTTACTATTGAGCAAAGATTACACTGATGATCACTTGATATAGGGGTACAATGGAAATAAACTATACCGGTCCCCAGGTACTATACTGGTAAGAGCAAGAGCCCTGTATTTTCCCACTACAAAGGTGTAAGCGGGTTCCACACTGGAAAATTTACGATTAAACCACTCTGTTAAAAATGGTGCTTATGTTATTTATACCTTTGGCTATTAGTAGAACTAGACATTCAATCCCTAATTTGTTACTAGTTTTTTAATCAAAACGTGCTGATATAAATTGTATTGTTGTAAAGAGTTATGCTTGTGTGTTAATTTATCATTGTAACCCATCATCGGCAGATACCTTCATAAAGTTGTTTATTTTTATTTTTTTATTTTTTATAAATTGATTATAAATTATTACTATATAGTGGTATTAACATGTATCTTTTAAAAAATGATAATGCATTTAAATGTTTTTAATTTGGAAAAGTAACGTTTAAATATTAAAATAGCTTCTTTTCCCTATCATAATATCAATATCAAAATCAAATATCAAATATCAATATCAAAATGGGGTGCACAGAAGGAGCCTCCCCGAAGATTGTGAAATATTTTTCTTTCATATTCATATACACAATTTGTGTGTTAGTTTCATAATGCATTCATTCTGAAGTAAACATAAAATACAAGTAAATACTTCATTTCATATCCAAACAAAACAGTTCATATGTTTTTTTTATATATTTATGTTATCCAGCTATATGTTTTATTGATTTTCAAATTATACTTCCACTCCTTCCACTCCCTTTAATTTATTTTATTCCTATATGCAGATTGAGAGCCGACTTGAAGTGTGTGAGCTTGAATATTACAAAAGTTGACTTTACTAAAATTACCGTATGTCATTCTTTTTAGAGCGTTTGAAGTAGGTTTGTTTGTTTTTTTTACAAAAATTCATTATTTCATAATTTTTATTGACTGTATAATTTGTTATGTTTGTTACGATTAATAACACAGAACAATTATTACTTTAAAACTTCTTGAGTCACCTGTTCAGCTATTTGCTATATCAGAAAATTCAATACTTAAAACGGAATTATACACAAATCAGGTCAAACGTTGAAATACCTTTCTTATAGTAACTAAAACCAAATGCTTTTATGCAAAACAATGTATATGCTCCATGGCAAGAAATTGTTTATTAATCAATATAAAGTAGCTGTTTCATGAAGAACTAACTGTCTGTAGCTTCATTTAAAGGGTTTCGACTAACAGCTGTAGGAATATTATTGTATTATTTATTGCCTTCTTTGCACAAATATAAAAAATAAATGTTGAATATTTTATGTTTTCAGCATTTTCACCGAAACAAATATTACACTTAAACATAATGTTATATATGGTACCGAAGGGAAACTTTCCTGGTTATTTTAGTGGTGAAACCACGCTGACCGGTAAAAGAATCAAAGAAAAATTTTTGAACATCCATAGAAAAAAAAATTGCCACAAAAAATAGAGAACCTCCTCCTTTTGTTGGGGAAAAGTCGGTTAAAAACACTCTTAATTGTACCGTGTAGTACATTTAAACGAAATTTGTATTGTTAATTTGTAGTTTTATCAACGTATAATAACAACCTTATACAAACAATATTTTAAAAGTAAAAAGGGTATTAAAAGTAAAAGTTCTTTTATCTCTAAAAAAAGATTTGATGTTGAAACTTATTAAAATTATTTAAAAAAAACTCAATTTGTGGATTTGTGGTAATAAAATCCAATTTTCATTGTCAGATTACACGATTTTTTGACCTTGACAAATCCAATTAGTACAATACAGCAAAGTTGGATGTTTTGATTTCTCTTGGGCAACCACAAGACATGCAAAGAATAAATGAATACGCGAATTTGCATTTACTTGATTACAGAAAGTCTTATGAATCTTACCTTCATACAGTTGCAGACGTTGGGCGTACACAGAAGTCATTGCTGTCGCTATGAGCAAAAGAGTCCGAACACACATGGTGGACTGTCGTCTGGTCGGAGGCTTGAGGAAGACTGGTTGGACAGTGGCAGTGGACGAGATATTATTGGACGTCAGTAGACACGAGAACGTCACGAGGATGACGTCACAGCCAGCGGTCTCTCCGATAACCAGTTTATAAAGTTTCTAGATTTGCATTTCAAGTGCTACACTGATACAAGAGCGTCAGGAACAGCATTCCGTCGGTGTTGCGAACTTGTAATGTATTGAGGAAAACGGTCAAATGCACCGGATTAGTTTTAAGATAATATTTCTTATACCTATGAGGAAAGTATCGTTTTCATGTAATTCGTGGTTGAATTCAGGTTCCAAATGATTTTTAACAAGTTTTACATAATGTAAGTTTAATTTAGCTAATTTTCCAAACTGTACATGGAATAAAATTGGATCTGTAACCTTGAACAATATTTTATTTGTCAAACCAGGATGAACAGACTATGGGGACGGGGTTTTTTTTGGGGGGGGGGGGTTCAATGAGACAAAAATTAGGGTTTCCCATTTTTACCATAAAAAAAAAAACACAATTTATGTGCAAAATAATTTGTATGACTTGAAAACAGTTTTTTTTACATCTATCTATATATATAATACGCTAAGCCGATTTTTGTAAACAGAACTCCTCCCTCATTTTTGGACCGATTTTGATTATTAAAGTGTCAAAGAAATTGCCCTGATCTGTAGTTTTGCAAATTGTTTTTAGTTTTTTGATATCTTTATTAGTTTGGGCAGGATCTTCCATCAAAGTTGGATTTTCTCCCATAAGATTAACATTGGGGAATCTAAATATTTAATTAGAAACTTTGTCTCCACTAATTTGAGAGAACGACTGGGCGTAGAAAATTGGTAGAGGTGTCCAAAGAAAGGTCTTGGTCTGTAGATGAGTTATCAAAAGAAAAACTAAGTAAGTTCGATTAGGACTCTGCCCCAGAAGGCTTTAACCCTAGATCTGGCGGTCATTTTATTCACCAGTGGCGGGTATATTTTGGCGCTTTTGTAGTGGTATCATATATTTTGCCACAGAACAATTATTTGTGAATATAAGTACACACATATATATATATTCTATTTCAGTGATGAATTTAGAATATAATGATAAAAAATATTCTTTTCCTAGCAATGCGTTTAGGCGTAGTAGCAAAAAGTTTGCAAATTTTTTGATTATGCAAATTAGAAATTTCAAAAGCAACCCAGAAGAAAACCACAAAATAATTTTTTTACACATTTTATCTAAATGTAAAGTTTGTGTGAAATATTATTCCCTACGTAGGAATATCAATGTTTTTTAAATACTCATAAAAATAAAATTATAAAAAAATAAATTCTTCATACATATTTTCTTTTTTGAAAAACTACCAAATTTCTTTTTGTCACGTAGGAAATAATAGAATGCATCAACAAAAAATGTAATGATACTGTACAATAGGTAATAAAAAGATCTTTCTGAAAATATATAGTTATATTTAGTTGAATTCTAAAATGTCGGAAAAATTTTCGTCGGAATGTAAAATTTTGAAGATTTTTTTACAAAAACATAATATTTATGACATTTTCAAAAACAAATAAAATTTTTACAATCAACCATATAGATTCACAGGGAATTGTAGGGAATTTATTGTAGTTTCAGAATATGTACTAATATTGTATACAATTTAATTGACAATCACCAAAAACAGCTGTTTTTGTAGTCAGGTGACCAAAACTTTCCACCGCCAAAATATATTTTGAACTCTCTAGTTTTTCAAACTATCGTTTCTCGCTACATAATACTCACTCAATAATGTTTTATGCATGAAAATGAATCCTCAGAATCTCATCTTTTTAATGGTATACGTTTTGTAGCGTTTTAAACCTGTTTTATGGCTACAATTCGTCATTTTCGCGCACATGTTGCATTGGTCCTTTTAGGGACCATGCCAGTTCACAGTTGAAAAATTGAGGTCCAAAAATGGACCAACGCCAGATCTAGGGTTAAAGATACCTCCACAGATTTGTTTACATTTTGGTCATGTGGATAATACCATAGACAAATTTAATTCTTTTTGTCTATGATAATACTTTTTAATAAAACAGCTGTTAATTTTAAAATGGTATTTTAAACAACACACATTTATTGGGAATTACTGAATAGTCCAAAAGAAGTATTTACAATGTTATTTTCTGATTTTAAACTTGATTTTCTTCTGTATCAAGTCATGTGTTGCAATATAAAGTTCCATTACGAAATCAGGGGAAAATCCTTTCATCACAATAACTCTTACAATTATTTCTTATTGAACAATCTTATATCTATTTTACGGCTTTTTTTCTGCCTTTTTCACACCTTTTCCCTATATTTTATCATATTATTCTAGACAGATCATCATAGGTTCATGAGATTATTGTCATACATGCTTTCAATCATTGGAAAAATCTTCGATTGTGTAATACAATACAAAATAATACAAGTGCAGAAGGGCACGGCACCCATTTGAGCCGTGTCCATATTTTGTTAAATTAATATTGGTTTACAGCAACTGGATAAAATGTATAAAATTCATGTAGAAATATGTGCATGATTTAGAAAGTCATTAAGCTGGATAACTGCAATATACTGCAGACTTTTCAGAGGGGTTACTTCGATGTATTCATTCATCTTAGTGAAAACATAATATAGATATAAATACAAATAAGAACTTGAACTCTTAGAGAGCCTTTGAATGTTATTACTCTAACGAAAAGGGTTGTGCATGTTTACTAGCGCTACTCAGCAACAAAAACAATTTAATTCATCTCTAAAAAATATATTGTTAAGTGCACTGAGCAGCAGACTAAAATATATGTAACTTCCTCATATAGTTACAAAATGGTCAAACTCGCATTGTCACATTTATAATTCGGCTTATATTTCTCCAACTTCATCTGCAGAAGAAGTTCAGTGTGCTCTTATCGCGGCTAATAACATCCAAACACAAAAAACCTTGCCTAAAATGGTACCTGTCTTGACAAATTATTTGCAGTGGCTTATATTACGGACCGTGGCCCACTGCGTTGGTAACATTATTGAAAGTAACACGATATTTTGGCTGTAAGAGTAAATACTATTTAAGCAGCTACTGTCACTACAGAAAGGTCATATTCTTTTTAAACTAGATCACATAATCGTGTATAAGATACGTTGATTAACAATGCATGTAAACGTCAATATTTACGTAACAGCCAGTTTACAGAATGTTTTTCTCTTTGGAAATGTCATATTGCTATTTCATTTACATTATTTGTTGCCAATGAAGCCACACGACCATATAAACGAGGAGGCCCCTAACCGTCGATTTCGACGGGTTTCACCTAGTTGAAGAGATTTCATACGATTAAAATTGGATACAGAGAAAATACGGAAAACTGTAAATTTAAACTTCCATGTAGTAATTCTTTTCGAGAATAAGTAATTTGTCGTAGTTTTTTAATGATTATATTTTTATAAATTTTGCTAAAATTATTTATTTCTTACCAAATTATTGCAATTTTGAAAAAAACACATTTTGTAACATAGCAGCAAACCTAAAAGTAATACAGTACTTGGTACAAGTATTAGAGTTTAAATCAATCACACAAATAAAATTCCTATTTAAATAACATTAATTTTAATGAGTCCCTATTTATACTTTACTAAGGCCCTACTTATAGGTTTGCCGCTCTAGGGAATGTTGTAAGATTTTTTTCATTTAAATGTTGACATCTTAGTATAATAAACTAAATTGCGAAACTTTTAAAAAGATATTCATAAAATATATTAAAGATAGGTTGGCCAAATTTAATCAAAATTCCTCCCTATACAAGCAAATTACAGATGTTTGTATTTTATTCTCCATAAGAATAACATGGGAATTTTTAATTTACACTTTTTCCCGTAACCGTTAGGCACACAAAAACGGTCCCATATACCGTACTAAATTATTTCTTTTTTAACGTCTACAAAATTGTTTAAAACGAAATTGAGAATTTGTATGTTTTAGGGGGAGATGGGAAAACTCAATTTTTACCCCATAAAACCCCTCATAAACCCCCGTTCCCGAACAGTCCGATCATGCTGGTTTGTGAACTCGTTTCAATAGACAACGATCTAAACGTTTGTACCAAATTTCATCAAAATCGGATCATTTTTGCTTGAGTTATCGCGCTAACGGACACAAAAATATATACATTTTATGAATTTGACTCTGGAGACCTCGAAACGAAAAAGTAAATCGGTCTGGGGACCTGGGGTTTTACACTGAGACCTGCGGTAATAGATCCACTGTATGGGAAATCACCCAAATAAGCACAAAGAAATTCAAAGTTCAAGAAAATCATAGAGGTTATCAGAGCAGATAAAATTTCTGATTTATCCTCACACATTATTTCCTTGGCCTATTGTCCAATCAATATATAATCTTGCATTCTCCAGGAAAATATTTTCGAATTTCGTAATACAAGGATATATTGTGTTGTTTTAGTTATTTCCTGCTTGTTACTTATACCGATTTATTATAGTGAAAATCTGATCAGGCAAGTGAAAATTTATTTTAGTCTGCATGTTTGCGGAGGCGGGGATATCTTGACCCTGTAAAATAAATCCATAAAATGTTTGTGTTGATAAATATAAATATTAATAACTAGCAGAGTACCCGTCCTTCGTAAGGGGGTTGGAAGTATAAAATGCTTATTGCAGTTATACTCAAGCTTTGCGTTTGCAATAAGGGAGGACACAGTTTGATAAAATTTGCTTTTTTAAATTTACAGTATTCTATAGTATTACACATCTACCATATAGCCATAATGTTCTACCACTTCACCTAAACAATAGAGAAAAATAAATTATCAACAATTCGCAAAATATCACAAATTATTCATGAAATGAAAAACATAAACATAACTGTAAACAATCCTACTTTGACAATTCTCATTGCGAATCACAGTTTTTTGTTGCTGCTTTGTTCAAATTAGCTGTTTTCATAAATGCAAAAAAAAATATTGTGCTGCACCCTGTTGGTAAATCTTATAACTTTTTAATGCTTTTCC